CAGGGTGATCAACATTATAATCAATCCTATTTAAATCTCACTGCTGGACACGAGGCTCCTCGTTTCACACGTTTTTCAAGTGATATGTCGATATAACGTTTTCACTAAACATTCCACAAATCTATCGACTCATCCGAAAAACAGAGTCCGATGTGATTATATACCGAAAAGAAAATAAGCACGTTATGAGTATAATTTCGTTATTCCAACTAAAGCCTATCAGAAATATAAAATCGAATAACGGTCGATCTGACATCGACAGCGAAGAAGAACGAACGAAATGTACTATGTCCTTAGAACAAGTAGTCTTGCACATAGATCTTTAAGTACGCAGTAGAGTTCCTTGTGAAAGATTTAAAGCTAATGCTAATGCAATAATCTGCATTCCCGTTTTGAAGTGTCATGATGAAATTACAGGCACACAAGACTTGTCAACTTATGTCTCAGGCCAATAGATGCAGTGGCAGTGCCGCTTCGACCTTTGCGGTTTAAAGCTCTGCGTGGCACTGCAAATGTTATGGGTAGGCGTGCCGCTAACCACCGGGCGCACACACACACTTGTTCATCCCTTCACTTGATATTATAAAAATAACCATAGAAACTAAAATCATGACTGCTCTTCATATATGTAGAGGATAAGTTAGACATCCTCCGGCCCCTCCAGAGACGTATGTCGTGCGTGCCTACAGATCCACCGCCAATGTGGAAATTTGGTAGTGGTCTTTAGATGTGGCAACCGTTAGTTGCGGGAACTGAGCGTGGAAAATATCTGGAAAAATAGGGAGGGGACTGTACGTGCACCTGGGGCACCTCACCCATGACGCTAGTCTTTTGAGGGCCGGATGAAGTCCATGCAAACGGGCTGATCTGGGGTCAGAACCTAACTGAGAAGGTCCCTGTGCGGGCTTGTTTGCGCGTGTTATATTGCCCTTCTCGTATACCCTAAGGGTCGGTAGGGGGGGGGGGGGGGGGGGGGTGTCACTATAATCAAAACTTATGTAGAAAGAAACAGGCTGCTCTTCATGTTGAGTGTGTGCGTTATTATTATATAAGAATAGAAAGTTTTAACCGAGCCACTTACCAGAATGCCTCAGTCCCTCAATTAAATAAGGCTCCCGGTCTGTAAGTTCCATGTACAAAATGGTGGTGTCGCCTTTTCCAGCCAAGAATAACATGTTAGTGTCCGCATCGAAGAGAGGCATGAGAATGCCAGTAGAGCAATCCAGCTCGAGGGTCTTTTGCGTCTGCGACAGGTTGCGGACGTCGCGAATCATGATTTGGCGGAGGCGCGCTGCATCGAAACCTGGAAATACAAAATAATTCGTCTCTATTAGCATGAACAAACTTAGCTTAAAATGTTGACAGAAATAAGTTACCTCTATACGTAGTATATTAACGTGCATAATATACAGTTCGATTCAAAATTGTATATTCTACGTTGTGATCAGGGTTGTTGCTGATGCAAGTTTTGTTTACACAACAGCGGATGCTGATTTTTCGACCTTAACATCAGCGGATGCTGAAGAAAAATGTACATTCTAATTGAATCTATTTACCTACATGAGAAAGATTTCTATTTTCTTTGGTATTGTAATAAAATATTTTTTCAATGATTTTGTGACATTTATTGACAAAACAATCAATATGCCATGCTTAATCGTTCTGAGATTTTATCAGATATATATCGAAAACAACAGTTGAGCTGCTTTTTTGGTGTACGGTCTGTTTCCAGAAAGTTTGTAAATTATTCCAGCGTGCCTTTTAGGTCATGTCACGACTTGAACATCCGCAATGAATATTAGCATCGATTAATGGGGATGCTGAAATTTTAATTTGTATGCTAATTATACGCAGATGCGGATGCTAATATTCGCAACAACCCTGGTTGTGACACATTTTTAAGAGCATGCTGTCATCTCCAGGTTGCCTGGAAAAGATTGCTATCTAAAAATTTCTTATTAGTGACTATCTAGAGTAAACTAGTGGCATTTTAGTTTAGAAGCAAGCCTATATATATATATAACTCAAACTATATATATATATATATATATATATGTAGTTTGAGCCGAATATCATCGGAGAAATCAAATCCGCAAGACTCCGTTGACTTAGACGCATCGAAAGGATGCCAGCTCATAGGGCGGTGAAAAGAGCCTAGACGGGACGTCCTGGTCAATAGGTTGATTGGCGCAAATGCCGATGGAGAGACAAAGTAGAGATAGACCTCTGCGCCCTGCACGCAGAGAACTGGCAAGAGATCATACAGGACAGGGCGCGCTGACGCCAACAATCAAAGACCAAACGCACTTCCGGTCGCTGAGCCAGCGGAGTAAGTATTTCACTTCATTGGAAGATTATAACAACGAAATACACTGCGGTGGTACATACAGAAAATGGTGGTTGTCAGGTTAGAATACACAGGCATCTCTCAAATAAACAAAAAATCTACCCAACTCCAGTGGGAGTAGTGACTCCTATTCTAAAAAACGCATTAATTTGAGTGTAGGACATTTCCCATTTTGACGGGTTCTGTTGCAACTGTTGTCTATTAATATGTCAATCTATGAGAGACCAGATAGGGCAGCGTGACAACCCCCTAACACCTGGGCAGACGCATAAAGACCGGCGACCAACGCAACAATCGAAAAAACAACCAAAAGGTCAGTCAGTGCGTTCACCTACCCCATTTTGATCTGTGGTACTTATAATAATAAAAACATGTACAGGAAAATAAATTATCTACAACACTTGTTATTGTTGTTCGAAATTCTTCATCGAACTTTCTTTCAACTATCTTCCGTCAGAATTGTTAATTAGGTCATTTTATGCTAAAAGAAACGAAATTTACTGGGTAATCAACTGCCGGATGTATGACGTTTGGGTTCAACAAATCGGACATGCCCGACCACTGAACTGCATACTCCGTTACTTGGTTCATCTCACTTTAGATAGATAAAACATGTATTCACTGCCATGGCGACTCATTTACTATACTCAACTAAAAACACCGGCCCATTTTTCAGAACAAAAAAGTGAGACTATAAAATAATAACGTTTATATTTAAATAAATAAGAATTAGATATGAAGTAGGAATTAAATAACATCTACTTAGTACAGTGCAAACAAAATGCATTTTTTAGATAATGTGACACAAAAGATACTACAGAAAATTTAAAAACAGATTAACACTGATGATCTCACTATCTAACCAGACAAGTTTTTCAACGCATACGAAATTTACAAGAAAGCAAAATCAACGTCGAAAATTGAAACAAAGGAATGATAAAAGTTACAATTGACTAATTTTTTATTTACAAATTAGGCCCAAAAATAAAATATGGTAAAATAACAGAAAAAACACTGCATTACTTTGAGGATCTTACTGGTGGTCCACTCTAATGTGGTGGTGTGTGTAATACTATAAGTACAAAAATCGAAAGGACTTCTTGATATTGTTAAAATAATTCAATTAAAATATAATAAACGGTGAAAATTAGCATGCAAACATTTCTAGGATTGCCTGATGTACCTATTGAGTATTGGCGTCCGCTTTTCGTAAAATATACAAGAAATCACGATGGGAAAAGGAGTATCAATGGTGGAGCTGTCACATATATGGCAGCATATCACTTTTTTGTATAACAATTATGATCAATTTGGATAATAAATTTCTTTATTTATTGAACCGGCTGGTCGAACTCCAGGTATGACGCATCTCGCAGCATAAGCACACTCCGTAATGTAAACCCAACCACGCACCACAGGCCGCGGCCGAAAATATCGTAGATGGGGTATAGGGCTCGTTATAGTACATTATTGCACAGGCCGGGAAGTAAGGGATTGCTGGACGAATATGAGTTACAAGGACGAGCGCTTGGCTTTGTATTAATACGAGTCAAGCAATCGCCGTTTCCGCCGAGGAATGAACAGAATTTTTCTCAAACAATGTGAGGAAATAATAAAAGACTAAAGAGAAGAAGACCTATAATAGAAAAAGTAAAAAGTATAAATTCATATTAAAATTTAATGTGTGGGGACAATTGCTAAACGAAAATATTATTTTTCGTAATGTTATTCTTTTTCCAGGCACATTAATAGTACTCTGCTGAACTTCTGATGAATGTGTATCTATTAAAGTATCTTCTTTTTTATTTTTGAATTGGGCAGTAATGGATTTTCATACTCACTTTACAGGCCTTGGCTGGGAAGAAGTTGCACAGTCCATAAATGACAAACTTCCTGTGTTCGTTTTTTGAAAGTAGTGAAAGCATTTCTGAGCATGTTTGAGAAAAAGTACATTACTATACGTCCCATGAAAATCCCCGGCCGTGCCCTCCTGTCAGTGGACGCCGGGCCTATGCTGCTGCAAGTTTTTAGAGGACACGGAAAGCTCCAGTCATAAAAAAGAAAAATTCCAAGCCAAGTTTTCTTTTCTTTCTGTTTCCTCAAACACAAGAGATATTAATTCTAAGTTCTTACCAGTAGTCAATATGCGGTCCTGGTCACCCAACCATACAACTCGGCTGTCCTTAATGTTTTGGTGGCTATTGGCGACATTGAGCACAGGTGACGCAGCGCGCGGGTCAATCACACGGACCTTCTTATCCTTGCATGATGTCACGAGCAGCCGGCCATCTTTCTTCCATGATGTTGATTGAATCACTTCCGAGTGATCTTTGTTTACTAGTAAAGTGAGAGAGATTTTTGTAATTGCATGTATTAAATTGTATATAGGAATAAAATTAGTTGATAACTTTTTATGCTTAATTAAAATCAAATCACAAGCCTTTCTTATTCCTTAATTAATTAACATAGTTTTCAGTAAATTCACTTTTAAATACAGGAAACATAGCCAGATTAACGGACAGCAGATGGATTGCCACCATCACAAAATAGAAGGGTGCAAACGGTAAAAGGATAAGGATCAAGGAAAAGATGGGGGACGACATACCATCAACAGTAGGACAACAATGGATGTAAGTAAAAGCAAAGAACACAGTTCAGTGGAAGGAGTTAGCAGAGGCCTATACCCAACAAGGGTATAGGCGTCCTCCTATATCCTATGCTTAATTAGAAGATTATAAAATTTCACATACAAGGTTTCTGTAGTGCGAGGCTATAAGTATGTGCATTATAAAATTTACATAAGTTGTTTCAAGGTGTTCATATTTTTATTAGCTTTCATGTGAAAAAAGTACTTTTCACACATCCACGGCCCCACTGAATAGTAATAATATTTATTCAATGAAATAATAACACCATTACAACGCTAAGCTAAACAAACATAAGTACAATAATAAACTTCTGAATGTACTTCTTCAATTAAATTAAGCCACTACAGTCGAAATAGGAAATCCTGTACCTCAACATGTAGTGCTAACTATAATATGTCGTGACCTTATCGAGTTCTTAGGTTTTCGCGATTGTTACACATAGGAAATGAAACTATTTTTCCGAATTCTAATCGCATATATTTGTTTTTTCAAACAAACCGATGTTTCGGGCCCTTTACAGGTCCCATGGTCACAGTTGCCTGAAGTGGTAGTCATCGACCAGTTATGTCTAATATTAATGCAAACCACCCTATTTTTTCACTATAGTTACAAAAGTTATTAATTAAATACCTTATTTTAAAATTTTATGAAGAGCAATTCCAATTTACCCTCCATTATGTTTTAAAAATTATTTTATTTTAACAATATGAATTTTTATTAAGTTACATTTGTTATTAATTAACCTTCCAGCGGTCGCGCGCGGTCTCAGAGACCGCAGCGCGACTGCTTATGTTCGGCGCAAGGGTGCGACCTCGGAAAGGTTAATAATGGAAATTAGAATAAATTAAAACATATTAATTAGTACTTATGTAGTATGTAGTCCTATGTCTGTTTTGGAGTTTTCATTAGAGGAAATACTGGAGCCCAAACTGGTGGTATAGAGAAAACATCTTCCCTGTTGAAATTAGGATGTTTTTTAAATTTCAATAGCCTCTCGCAGCATCCTGGGTCTCTATCTACCCGACATCTTTTGCAAGAACCTAATGAGTTATTAGGATTTCTTTTAATTAAAACAACTAAGAAAATTAAAGTACCACAATTCTCTTTTTCCATAGTAAATTAGATCTTATTATTAAAAAAATTAAGATGGTCCAAGAAAGAAGGTACTCTATTCTTATATCTAATCTTTTGGTAATATTGTGAAAGTATCATCTACATACCTTTTGAAAATATTCCCGAGGCCCGAAACGTCACTTTGTTTGAAAAAACAAATATACGCGATTTAACTCCGGAAAAATTGTTTCATTTCCTATATGTAATAACCTTGTTGATAATACATGTTTATTCAGTGGGGCAATCAATATGGTTACATGTGACTTTATTATACCAGGAGTAGGATATTATATCTGGATGACCTACATGATTTTGTGGGTGTGATCTGTGTCATGTGGATTTTATGCAGCTCAACAATGTTACGAAGGGGCTGAATCATAATCGTCTTTAAAAGAGACATCAGCCATAGATTGCCTGTCCATAATAATTCTTACCAAAAGCCTCCTTCTGCTTAGTCAAGTCCCACAAGGCGAGCTCATGTCCAGAAGCAACATGGATAAGGCCATCAGCAACAGGATGGAAGCCAACATTCTCAACCCGGCGTTGCTTCTGAGATAATGTACACTCAGGCGTGCTTAGCGATTCTTTCAAACCTTCAGGTGGAATGTGCCAGACTTTCACCTGAAATTCATACCTTAAATAGAGCCTAAACGATGCCAACGAATGGCCATGTCACAAATAAGGCCCTATATTTTGACATATAATTTTGATGATCACATTACTTTCGAAGGGAGCTTTTATTTCTTTAATCTAGATTAGTTATAGGAATGAAACTATTTTTCCGGATTTAAATCGCGTATATTTGTTTTTTTCAAACAAACCGACGTTTCGGGCCCTTTACAGGTCCCATGGTCACGGTTGACTTTTTGATCACGGTTGTTTGAAAAAACAAATATACGCGATTTAAATCCGGAAAAATAGTTTCATTCCTATGTGTAACAATCGCGAAAACCTAAGAACTAGATTAATTAGCTAGCAGAACATCTGTATGAAACAAATTTTGTTTGTGTGTAGTTAAGTAAAAATAGATACTATTATATTTTAATAGCCGTGACTTTGCGATGTTGCGTCATAGCAAAATAAAAATATAGTGAAACAGTGATTTGGTATGTTTACAAATGCCTCCAATAAAACTATTTTCCATATTTTACATAATATTATCAACTAACTCCCAAGAACATACAAAGACTAAAGAAATTTTGATTTGAAAAATATATGAATATAAATTTCCCAACAGGAAAATGACGTAATTTTATATCAAAATATCATATAAATCGTTTGTGCCGCTCTCATAAGTCAATAACCTTGAAGATTTATTACTTTCATGAAACAATGAATATGGCAACATTAGCAAACTATTTGGAAAGTCAAAATCTAGAATGTTTACTTCACTAAACAAGTAGGTTAATAACATACTTAAGTTTATATTAATTATTCTTGTCATAATTGCACTTACCAAAGAATCCTGTGACCCAGTGAGAAGTAGACCATCATGGAAAGGTGAAAATTCCATGTCCGTTATGGTATCGGAATGTGCGTGAAGCAAAGGCATTGTTTTACTCTTCCTCCCACAGTCGTCAAGAGGTAACACAGCCATACTCGAACCAACATGCTCCCAGTTAAAAGCCATAAAAGCGGCAGACGCACAAATATTGTTCCCATAAGTCTGATACGACCCCACACAAATGTCCCTGATGCAAGCCTCGGGCTTTGGCACAATGGGTGCCGCATTTTTATATTTAGAGGCTTTAAAACGCCAAGCCATTGTTATCCACTTCTTAAAAAAAGTTCAGTCTTTTAAATTTGGAATGTTTGGAGCCTCTTGAGGGCTGTTTCGTGACCTGTAACAATTTATACATATTCAAAATTTTCCAATGTTTAATAAACATCAAGAATTCAAATTATCAGTGCAGAAAATAAATGATTTAAGAGTGACTTAACATATTTTAACACAAAACTAAGAAGTGACAACCACCGTGAACAATATCGAAGATAAAATTCAAATACACACACACCAACTTCTAAAATGTTAATAAGTGCTATAATTATGTTTTTAAGTACATATACTTATTTGATGCTTTTTATGCTTATGGTACATATTGTGAATTAAAACTTAAACTTTAAATGAGGATAACAATAAAATATAACATAAATAGGCATAAATCAGTGCGAGAATTTAATATCTAATTCATTTAAGTGGTTGTTGGTGGATGACAAAAGATTTTTCCAATTAGTCATAAAAATCAACAGGTAGACATAATATACTTGGCTGTATTTTATAAGCAGTTACTATAACTTAACTAAGCATGTTTGTGGACATTTTAAACAGGTGGGCAAAGAGAAAAATGTGAAATAATACAAAAACAATTTTTGTTTATGAATACTCCGACCGGTTCCGTGACCGGAAATGGTTTTTAAATAGTAAGCCACATTATATCAGCCACATAATTATTATTATAGATTGTCTGGCATAAAAAAATGTTAATTAAAATAATCCAGCTTACCTTACAGCGTAATAATCACAAAGAAATTCAATTTCGATCAGACACTCCCCCTAAACGTCGGCCATTTCAAAACGACATTTTAAGAGAATAGAGCGGATCGATAATCAAGTTTCAAACATTGTTCCGAATGCGATGCTACGAAAATCGATTAGAACTATATCGATTTTGATTGCATCAAGCTGAAGTACAGCTGAGTAGGAAAAGAAGCAGTTAAATTGTATTAAAGTATGCGAATATATTAAGTACTATTAAAATATATATTATATATTAATAATACTTAATATAATATAGTGTTTAATATACTTAATATATTTTAATTCACAATATAACAGCTAAAGAATAAAGTACATAAATAAACAATTTCAAAAC